TGTGTGCAGCTGACGTTGGCACTCTGTATATAGCCATGCAGGCTGAAGGTGTAGGACTCAGTCCTCTTCACACGTTTGACAGTAGTTTACAGACAATAGGCACTACGTGACTAGCAACCTTTTTGTACAATCTCCGCTACAGGTCACCGTAGTGCATGGACATGCCGTCTTGTGTGAAAAGACTTTCGTGTGCTCCTGCTTGTGGAAGGCTTCTTGACAATCCATAGGTCGTGAGCCCCACTTGCTAGCCACTGCGCAATGGAAAGTGACAACGGGCCCGATTATGGGCATGTAAGCCCAGCTGAGAACGACGCTGACGTGTCGCTTTCAGCTGGCAATCCGGAATGGGAGTGTGAAACCGGCGAAGGCAGTCGTGATGATGCTGGAGCTGGAGCCACCAGGGACGGAGATCAGGGGAGATCTCCCGAAGATGATGCCCGAGATCTTCTAGATTTCGGAGAAGGGCTGGAGCCGCCCTACGAGTACATGTCGGTTGAGGGCTCTCCTGAGCGTGGAGATCAACCAGTGCCTGGCGAAGAGCTTAAAGAAGTGGGTACCACTTCTTCGAGCGACCAAAGCAAGGCCCGAGCTGAGCGACCTTCTCCAATGCTGAATGGTGTCGGACCCTCCGGACCTGGCAACCGTCACCGCGAAGGTGGCCGGCGCCTTGATGAGCCCGCGGCGGCAGGAGGCGGTTCGGGACTTGTCTTCGAGATGGAGGACGTGATCAGACAGCTGGTGGCGCAGAATCAGGCCCTGCAGGAGGAGCTGGTCGCGGCGAAGCAGGGAAGTACCAGAGCGATGAGTACTGATTCAGAGCGGGTTGACGTGTACAGTCGTTCTGTAGCTGAGGGTAGTACGTTCTATGGCAATGACGCCAGTAGTGTAGAGGGAGGGAGAGGACTGAGGCCTAGCACGGGGCAAAGGGCTGGTAGGGTTGAAAAGGGGAAAGGTATCGGCAGTGTCCAAGGCCTAGGCGAGGTCGGTGAGGATATGTGGGCGGGCGCTACCCGCATGTTCCGCCCTCCGTGGACGCAGTGCGCCAGTGGTGGCAGTCAGCTGAGCGGAGCTAGTAGTGCCCTTGTTCCGGTACAAACCCCAGTGCCTGAACTAAGCCCGTTTTCCCCCCAAGCTGCGTCGCCCTTCCTAACTCAAGCTGCTGTAGATCTTCAGGTTGCCCGTTGCGTAGCACCTCAGGCGTCAGGTCAGGTTGCAGCTCGCACAGCACCGCAGGCATCAGGTCAGGTTGCAGCTCGCACAGCACCGCAGGCGTCAGGTCAGGTTGCCTTTGGCACAGCAGCGCAGGCGTCAGGTCAGGATGCGGCTTACATAGCACCGCAGGCGTCAGGTCAGGTTGCAGCTGGCATAGCACCTCAGGCGTCAGGTCAGGTCGCAACTCGCACAGCACCGCAGGCGTCAGGTCAGGTTG